TATTATTTATCATTAACTTTAAATCTGCGATATTCAAGTGTCCGTATCTTTGATGCCATTTGGTTAAATCCGCGTTAGTTTCGGCACACACTAGAGCTTCCTGATTTTTATTTTCGTTCACTATGTATAGTTGATCACGCTTTGTTGCTCTCAGAGCCACTGAACCATCTTGTCGATTTATTGTTGCGTAATCTTTTGAAAATGTCACTGTGTAATTGTTTTCTGTAACACTCGAAACTGACAGAAGGTTATTACGAAGACCCGGAACGTATAATGCATTTTTTAACATAACCTTATTTTCCGTATTTTTGTCAACTACACTATTCAATTTTATTTCACCAACACCAGCTGATGTTATAAAATGCTCATCAGCTGTGTCCACTTTGAAAGTCTGATTTTTATTAATATCATCGAATTTATTGTTATTGTTGCACATGTGACGTGTTGCACCACTGTCGAGATACCACTGATTTGATTTTTCGATGTGATCAACATTACACGCAATTACAGTCATGGCGTCACAAGCTTGGTTAGATTCATTTTTCGATTTTAACCTACAATTTTGTTTCTTATGTCCGAATTTACCACATTCATGACACTTCCCTTTAAATTTGGTAAATGATTGTTTGGGATAATTGTAACTATGGAACTCTTTTTGCGGATTACTTTGACTTTTCATTACAAGAGCATCACTTGTGTTATCATTTGTATTTGTTTTTAAATTTCTGTCACATTGTCGACCATCTTCTTCGATAATCTTGATTTTTAAATTATCAAGCGTCGGTATCGCGTCTCTCGATTCTATCGCTATACAAAAATTTTCAAACTCAGTCGGTAATGAGCTGAGCAACATTATTGACAGTAATTCATCTGGTATTTTAATTCCAGCATCTTCCAATTGTTCAGACTTATGCATGAAATCTGAAATATACTCATTTACACTTATATTTGGTTTCTTTTCCATTCGCAACAGACTTTTGTACAATGCAGCTTTTCTGACAGGTCCAGTAGATTCAAAGACAGCTTTTAGCGAATCCCACGCTTCCTTCGAAGTCGTCGCCTTTTTCACATGGTTAAGCTGCTTACTCGAAATACACAAATTGATTAAAGCTAAAGCTTTCGAGTCCTTTTTTATCCAATCATTTGGTTCTACAGCCGGTTTTTGTTCCGAACCATCTACATATGACCACAATTCATTGTATATTAAAACACTTTTCATTTGGATTTTCCAAATCTCATAGTTTGTTTCCGTCAACTTTTCTACGCTCGCGAAACCGTTCATGGCAGCCATTTTTTTTAATCAACAGACGCGTTCACGAATAAATTAAATACCTTAGCTCTCCTGGGCCCATAACCTGTGAGAGGTTTTACAAGAAAACTCCTTGATTTAACATATTAAATCAAAACTCAATTTATTGATATAATTATTGAAATGAGAATACATAAATATGAAAGGACAATACGTGACTTTACTTAATGACTGCCGAAAGCAAACTGGACTGAGTAAAATAGTAAATGCCCTCTATAGAGCGATTAAAGAAATTACATTCTTGATAAAATAGTATAGCACTTTATCGATGTAAAATATAAATATTTCTCACATTTTCAACAAAATTTTAGTCAAATTTCAATTTCAAAAAATTTCACGAAGGAGTTCGATTTTTATCTAAATTTATTATAAAAGTTTTTAAAGAATTCTATTATTTTTACAAGTAGTTCAATTTCTTGCAAACATTTAATTATTTTTATTACAATTTTATTAAGGAATTCAATTTTAAAAAATTTTAATATTTTTTGAAAAAATACAATTATTATTAATATTAAAATTTGCAATTAAAATTTTCAAAAAACTACATTATTTAAAAAGACCCAAAAAAAGTCTTTAAAAGAATTTCATTATTTACAAAAATTTAAATAAAATTCTGTGCAAGAATTCAATGGATTTTCATTTAAAATCTTCTTCTTCTCCTATTATGATATTTGCCTTTTAAAAATACTTGCCTGCATTACAACATGCTTCCCGTCCATCGCACAGTAGGGCAAAAAACACGCTATTGGACAAATTAATTTTTAGACCACAATTTTTAACCGATTCACAAAATTTTTTTTCAATTAAAGCTAATAAAATTTTGCATAAAACGTACGTTTTTTATTTAAGAAAAAAATGTTCCGTTAATTGTTTATAAAATGTTAAATAAAAAAATGAGAAATTTTTTTTCTTTAAACAAATATTGTTGCTTATGAAAGCCTATTATATAATTAATAATTACCAAAAACATTATAGCCATGTTCTAAAAATGTTTTGAGACATTAACTATTTTGTTTAAACAATTTTTGCTTTTGTTATAAACAAAGAAATTAACAAAAGCTTTTTTTAATATTATGTAAATTTAGTTACTAAATTTTGCATAATCTACTATACTTATGATATGCAAGTAAATACTAGTTAAATTTATTGTTATAAACAATTACTTTTTGTTATGTTATAAACAATTTATTTATTAACAATTTTTATTTTTATTTTTTTAACACAAAGTTACTTATATTTTTAAAACCAATATTATTATTAGTTACGATTTACAGAAAGTATTTTTTACTTTCATTTATTATTGTAACATTGTTTAAACAAAGCTTAATTAACAATTGCACCGTTTCTTTATTTTTAGTTGTTTAAGTCTCGTCTTTTGTATATTTCCTTGCATATAAAGTAATTTCTTAACTTGTTGTCAAATTTCACATTTGTTAATAATTTGAATTGTTATTAACAATTGTTAAAAAATATTAAAGAGAAATTTTTTTTAAAACATAGTGTGGGACCCAATCAGTGACCAACCATACAAATAAGAAAATAACTATTTGATTCATACTCTCTTAATTTGAATCAGTTAAAAATCGTGGTTTTAACTGACAATCAGTGACTGACTTTTTGCTTCTGAATCAGTTAAAAATAACTGTTTTTAGTGAAAAAATAACTAATTTTCAGTAAATAATAACTGAAAAAATAGTTAAACTTGACTAATTGAATCAGTCAAAAAAAATTTACTGAAACTTCATTACTTCAGATATTTTTAACTGAAAATCAGTTATTTTTAACTAATTGTCAGAAGAAATATTACTATTTGAATTAGTGACTGACTTTTTGCATCTAAATCAGTTATCTTTAACTCATTAAAATTTAGAGAGTAAGAAAATAAAAAATAAAAAAACAGACAATGTTGAATTGAAGACTGATTTTTAATTAAGATTTTCTTTTTATTGTGTAATTAAAGTTAAGATTTGTACACTCAACGTGCATTCGAAATTATCCTCGCTGATTCTACTCTGTTTTTATGATATTCAAACTATGTCTTAAAAAAATTTTCTCCTTAGCATTTTTGAACAATTGTTAATAACAATTCAAATTATTAACAAATGTGAAATTTGACAACAAGTTAAGAAATTACTTTATATACATGGAAATATACAAAAAACGAGACTTAAACAACTAAAAATAAAGTAACGGTGCAATTGTTAATTAAGCTTGTTTTTTAATCTTATTTATTAATGTAACATTGTTTAAATAAAGCTTAATTAACAATTTCACCGTTACTTTATTTTTAGTTGTTTAAGTCTCGTTTCTGGTATATTTCCATGTATATAAAGTAATTTCTTAACTTGTTGTCAAATTTCACATTTGTTAATCATTTGAATTGTTATTAACAATTGTTTAAAAATACTAAGGAGAAAATTTTTTGAAGACATAGTTTGAATATCATAAAAATAGAGTAGAATCAGTGAGGATAATTTCGAATGCACGTTGAGTGTACAAATCTTTACTTTAATTACACAATAAAAAGAAAATCTTAATTTAAAATCAGTCTTCAATTCAACATTGTCTGTTTTTTTATTTTTTATTTTCTTACTCTCTAAATTTTAATCAGTTAAAAATAACTGATTTAGAAGCAAAAAGTCCGTCACTAATTCAAATAGTAATATTTCTACTGACAATTAGTTAAAAATATCTGAAGTAATGAAGTTTCAGTAAATTTTTTTTACTGATTCAATTAGTCAAGTTTAACTATTTTTTCAGTTATTATTTACTGAAAATTAGTTATTTTTTCACTAAAAACAGTTATTTTTAACTGATTCAGAAGCAAAAAGTCAGTCACTGATTGTCAGTTAAAACCACGATTTTTAACTGATTCAAATTAAGAGAGTATGAATCAAATAGTTATTTTCTTATTTGTATGGTTGGTCACTGATTGGGTCCCACACTATGTTTTAAAAAAAATTTCTCCTTAATATTTTTTAACAATTGTTAATATCAATTCAAATTATTAACAAATGTGAAATTTGACAACAAGTTAAGAAATTACTTTATATACAAGGAAATATACAAAAAACGAGACTTAAACAACTAAAAATAAAGAAACGGTGCAATTGTTAATTAAGCTTTGTTTAAACAATGTTACAATAATAAATGAGAGTAAAAAATACTTCCTGCAAATCGTAACTAATAATAATATTGGTTTTAAAAATATAAGTAACTTTGTGTTAAAAAAATAAAAATAAAAATTGTTAATAAATAAATTGTTTATAACATAACAAAAAGTAATTGTTTATAACAATAAATTTAACTAGTATTTACTTGCATATCATAAGTATAGTAGATTAAGCAAAATTTAGTAACTAAATTTACATAATATTAAAGAAATCTTTTGTTAATTTATTTGTTTATAACAAAAGCAAAAATTGTTTAAACAAAATAGTTAATGTCTCAAAACATTTTTAGAACATGGCTTTAATGTTTTTGGTAATTATTAATAAAATATAATAGGCTTTCATAAGCAACAATATTTGTTTAAAGAAAAAAAAAATTCTCATTTTTTTATTTAACATTAAATAAACAATTAACGGAACATTTTTTTCTTAAATAAAAAACGTACGTTTTATGCAAAATTTTATTAGCTTTAATTGAAAAAAAAATTTTGTGAATCGGTTAAAAATTGTGGTCTAAAAATCAATTTGTCCAATAGCGTGTTTTTTGCCCCACTGTGCATCGCCCCCCAAACATGAGGGAATTGCCACCGTCTTTCAAAATCTTCGGAAATTTTTTTCCAATCTGCAGGAGTTTCAGGCATCCGCAATACGATTGGCTGTAATTTCTCGTACAAAACTTTCAAAGTTTTGTAGCACCATTTTGATGCCGTAGAAAGTCCCATTTGAAACTGCATGTGCAGAGATGATAACGACTCACCCGTGGCCAGAAATCTGAAATTAATAAAATATCTTAACTAAAATTCTTCTTTAAATACAACTAATATTCAATTTTATTATCTCTAATTTTAACTGAAATACTTTTTAAAATCAATTTTTATTAGAAAAATTCTACGAGAATTCAATTATTTAAATAAATCATCTATTGAATAATTGAATATTTATTAGACTTGAATTCATAGTAAATTTTGAGGTGTTAAATTACACCAGAATGGAATTAAATAAACATCAAGGATTTTTATTACCTCAAAATCTACTGTGTTCTCATAAAGAATTTTATTAACAAATGCATAAATAATTGAATTTTTTTGACGAATTTTCATAAAAATTACTAAAAATAATTACATTTTTCGAGAAATTAATTTTATTATTTCTGATAGTAATTGAAGTCCTAAAAAGCATTTTTTTTATGAAAGTAATTAAATTCCTGCAAAAAATTTTATTATTTATGAGAATAATTGAATTATTGTTATAAAGTTTATAAAGATTACTAAATACATAAATTTATAAAATTATTAATTTTTTATAAATTTACAAATGTATAGAAAGTTTGTAAATAATTGAAATCCTGTGGAATTCTTATTATTTATGAAAATAATTGAATGTTTACGTAAAATTTGTATTAAAATCTTCTTCAAATACAGGGTGGTCACATATTTCAGTTTATCAAATTCCCTAAAAATTTCCTTGATAATTTACTGGCATTAAAATTTTTTTCCCTAATAAAATACTTTCTACAGGAAAATATTAAATTTCACGACCAATAAGAAAACTTTGAAAACCTACCTGAATTCAATGGTTTTCTTCAATACAATTTTTTTTATAATTGTGAATGTCCATGTTTTTTTCAAATATAATTAAATCTTAAAAAACTTAAAAACAATTCTAAGAAATAGTTTTTAAAAATATTTTAATGTCATTTTTCGGAAATAGTTGAATTTCTTTAAAAAAAATTTGTTTTAAAAAATTTTGAACATTATTTTTGTTTTAAAATGTTAAAAATAATTTTAAAATGTTATTATTTTTTGTATGTATTTGAATTTTAAGCAATTTGTAATTGAAAATATTGAAAATTTAAAAAATTAGAAGCTATTTTTCATTAATTTTCATTTTTAAATTTACATTTTATTTAAAGATTTTTCATTAAAATTTCAATTTCAATTTCAATTTCAATAAAGTTTCAATTACTTAATTTAATAATTTAAGTTATCTTAATTTACTTACTTAAGTTATATTACATACCTTAATGTCATAATCAATTTTGTGGATGGACTTATAATGTCTTTTCGAGTTTTTTTGCTCAATAAAGCAGGACCAACTAACTCGAGAAGTTCTTCATACTGTGTTACAGTCATCCTTTTTTCAATTATTTTTGTAATAATAAAATTCTTCTGAAAATATCAACTACTTTTAATAGAATTTTAATAAAATTTATGTAACAGATTCAATTATTTTTAAAAATTGTAATAATATTTTTCGACATAATTCAATTGTTCTCAAAACTTTTCAATTATACCTATAAATATAAATTTCAATTGTTTTAAAAATTCTCAATTACCATTTTTTTTTAAATTTGATTATTTTTACAAAATTTAATAAAATTCTTCAATGAAAATGAAATTATTTACAAAAACTCGAATAAAATTGTTTAAAAGAATTAAATTTGCTATACAAAATTTTAATATCATTTTATAGGAAATTTATTAATATACATTATTATAATAATCGTAAGTTTTATTTCCGTTAGCAAATTATCTGCATTCATTTGTTTGTTTTGAATATTAATTTTTGTGGGTTATTTTCATTTTTTTTAATGTCAAAAAAAACGAAAAAAAATCGTTTTATTCACATCACAAAATTGGCAAAATTTCCATTCCATATTTTTTATTTTCCTGATTTCTTCCTAATTTTTATAACAAATATTTACTTTTTTTTGTCCTGCTAATAAATTGAATTTCTGCTACGAATTTTATTATTCATGAAAGAATTCAAAATAATTTAATTCTTGCGAAGAATTTTATAAAAATTTTTAAATAATTCCTTTTTTTCGAATAATTTTATGCAAATTCTAATTTAAATAATTGAATTAATAAAAATTTTTATTATTCATGAAAGGAATTGAATTTTTACAAAACATTTTTTAAATAATTGAATTCTGTTTGGAAATTTTATGAAAATAGTATATATTGAAAATCATTGAATTGCGAAAAGTTTTTAAAGATAGTTAAATTTTACAAAGAATTCTATTAAAAAATTTGTCAATAATTGAATATGTGTGGGAAATTTTATTAAATTTTTTTTAAAATAATTAAATTCCTAAAAAACAGTTTATTATTTAAAATAAATTAAATTAAAAATAAATTAAAAATAAATTTTTAAATTTCAATAATAGAATTATTGCAAACGATTTATTAGAATTTTTTAAAATAATGGAATTTCCAAGAAGAAATTTATTATTTTTAAAAATAATTGAATTATTGTGATGAATATTGTTATTTATGAAAATAATTGAATTTTAAAAAAAAATTTATTAAAATACCTCAAAATAATTGAATTTTTGGGGGTAATTTTTTTATTTATCTTTAATAATCAATCTTTAATAATTTTTTTTTCAAAAAATTATTCGTGTAAATAATTGAATTCTTAGAAAAAATGTTATTAAAATTTAAAAAATTGAATTATTTCAAAAAAATTTAATTAAAATCGTATTTGAAACAATTAATTTCTTTCGAACAATTTTATTAAATTTTTAAAAATAATTATTTAATTCTTCCATAGAATTTTAAAAAAACATTCTTTTAAATAATTTATTTTTTCGAGGAATTGAAATTAAGTTTTTAAGAATAATTAAAATTTTTGAGCAATTCCTGTAAAATTGTATTAAAAATAATTTAAATCCTGCTATGAATTTTATTACTTATGAAAATAATTGAATTTTTGCTTAGAATTTAATCAAAATTTTTTTTTAAAAATTGACTTTTCATGAAAAATTTTATTATTAGTGACAGTAATTAAATTATTGTGAAAAATAAATTGTATAAAATTTTGTTTAATAATTGATTTTTACGAAATTTTTTTGAAAATTAGCGAATTCAAGGTAGTAAAAACTCTATAAAAAAATATATTATTTATATTCCTTGTTCAGAAAGTTGAAGATTATTTTTAATTTAGGTATTAAATATCAATTTTTGCAAAATTCAATTTACCTCGTACAAGAAGTTTTCAATTTTGAAAATCTGATGTAAAATTTGAAATTAGTATCAAAATTTGTTAATTTTTTTTATGTACTTTAAAGTTTAAAAAAATAATATAATTTGAAAATTTAATTCTAATTATTAGTTTTTTAGTTATGTGTCATAATAAGTATTTCTTTAAAAATTACTTAAATTAAAATGACTTGAAATTGTTTACAATAAACATTGCAATACAACATTCCCGCGCGGATAATTTGCTAGTTACAATTAATAATAAACAGGATTGTTTTGAAAACTTAAAAGAAATTGTTCATAAAATTCAATTATTTTCAAAATCTTTAGTAAAAATTATTTAAAAAATAAACCCCATTATTTCCAAAAAAAAGTTAAATAAATTCTTCAAAACAATTCAATTATTTTAAAGAATTTTAATAAAAATTTTGCCAAGAATTAAATTATTTTCTAAACAATTTTAATTAAAATTAAAGAAAGTGAATTTATCATTCGGCAGTTAAATATTAAAGGTGAAAGAAGCTATCAATTTTCCGAATCAATTTTTACAAATGAAAGCTTATAGAGATTTATTTAAGATATAAAAAAATAAAAATAAAAGCTTATAAAGATTTATTTAAGATATTTAATTTATTTGTAAAAAATAATTCGGAAAATTGATCATTGATCATTGAAATTTCATTTATATTCAAATTTTTAATAAATACTTTGTAAGAATTCAATAATTTTCAGTACATTAATTTTTAAAATTGAAAACATTTAAAAAGAAAATTTATTTACAAAGTTAGGGAATACAAAAGCAATTAGCAATGATTATTAATATAGATATTTGTGGTTAACTAAGATAGCAAAATTTTACCTCTCTCCTCTCTACTTGACCACAAAGGATTTACATAAAACCTTCTCTTTCTCTTTTTTTTCTGCGGATCATCAAAAGAGCAAGCAGAATTTTCCCATCATTATCATCTGATGATGATGAGGATGATGATGAGGATGATGATGATGATGAGGATGATATAAAATCTGCAGCGTTTCCAGAATGGTCCATCGTCAACGCCATCATTTGATTCGATTCTTGTAACATATTCTGTGATAGAATTTAAGAACGTTAATACATTATTAAAACATAATAAAATGTAAATTCTATTATTTTTATTGCAATTGTAAGGAATGAAGAAATTCATTTCTACAATATTTGAAAAATTCTGATATAGACAATTCAGGGAAAAGTCAGAAATTTTTATAAAAAGTACTGAAAAAAATTAAATTTTTAGATTAACATAAAAATAAAATTCTTGTCAAAATTTAAGTAATTTTCAAAAATTTTCCATATTTCAATGATTTTCAATATCTACTATTTTAATAAAATTACCAAAAAGAATTAAATTATTTAAATACAAAAATAAATATTTATTGAATTATTGAATGTTTCTTCAAATTTAATTCTCATAGAGTATTTTACCAACAAATTTTTAAGAATAATTAAATTTTTTGCAGAATTCGATTAAAATTGTATTAAAAATAATTGACATTATTTGATTATTCTTATTATTTATGAAAATAATTGAATTCCAAAAAACAATTTTATTATATACAAAAATAATTAAGGAGCTAGATGCTATAAGGAGATACGCGCAATGTTAAGTGAATGGCGCGTATTCCCTTATAGTAGTATTCAGCCCCTCAATTGAATCCCAGTAAAAATTTTATTAATTTAATAAATAAAAAAATTGAATTATTTCCAAGAAATTTATAAAAAATTTGTAAATAATTAAATTCCTGTAAAATGTTTATTATTCTATGAAAATAATTAAATTCTTTTGAAAATTTTTTATTAAAATTGTATATATTAAAAAACATTGAAATGAGGAACATTTTTGAAAATAATTGAATTTTGGTCTGTATACAATTAATACTCACATCATTTAAATTGACTGCGTTGCCTTCAATTGTTAACTCGATTGAATCTTCAGCTCCCAAAAAGCATTCATGCTGCGCAACCTCCTCCATTGCCACATTGTCCTGGCATATAGCGCAATATATTGAGGACATACCCTAAAATTAAAACAAAAATATTTAACATAAATAATTTCTATTTATTTGTTTACTTTTTCTATTTACTTTAACTTACCTCACTATACCTCAGATCTGCCATTGTACTTTGCGATGGTCTGCAAATAATTAATTATATTTGTAAAAAAAGAGATAGTGAAAGTTTTTTAAAATATTTTACTGATTTTTTAAAAATAATTGAATTTCTTAAAATAATTTTTATATAATTTTTAAAAAAATTTAATAATTGGGGCCTAATAATAATTTTTGACGTTAAAAATTTTGTTAAAAAATTTTGTTAAAATAATTTGTTATAAACCAATTAATTTTTAACCCTCAGGGTACTGACTATAAACATGTAACGTTCCGTACTGACATGGGTTAGCGTAACACAGGAACTTTGATCGCCTGTATCTTGGGCTGTAATTGATGAATTTAAACTCTTTTTTTGTAATCTGTTTAAAATTTCCCCAGGAATATGCCGGATTTGTCGGATTAGTGATATTTTTTTATTTATAAAAGTTATTGTTAAAAATACAAATGGTTTTCAAAAAATTTTCATGAAAAAAAATATTTTTTTCAAAAGCTCGTATTTTTATGAAAAAAAGATAAAATCATTTTATATAGGTGTTTTGGAAAGGTGAAAAGTTGATCTTTAAGATAGCGTTAGCCGTTTTTTAATTAATCTTAAAAAGTATATTTTTTTAGATTTGAAAATGCTTTATTTTTGACATGTAAAAAAAAGTCAAACGATAAATTCATTAAAAATATCGCGAAAATTTACAAACCCAAATTCACCAAATTTACAAAATCCTTCCGCTTTACACTTTATGAACTTTTAAATGTAATTTATGAATAATTTTCAATTAATTTAATGAGATTTCACAATTCACAAAAACATGGATTTTATAACATAGCGTACTGACTGGGTGTAATTCACCCGAATACAAATTTCAATAATTCGCAGCTTGAACAGCAAGTGCCGACCGGCTCTGCCAAATCAGCTACTTTTGGTTCTAATCTCAAAGTTTTTTCCCCCCCCCAGGTCCGAGCCGCCTCCATCGATTTGTTTAGAAATGGCGCAACTTTCAAAATTCGCCTGGGTTACGCTAACCCAGTCAGTACCCTGAGGGTTAATTTGTTATCATCAGTAGATGTTTTACTCATTGAAAAATTGCACAATTGATAAAAAACTAGAAATTTCTAGCTCTATAAGTACTGTTTATAATTGTCAAAGCCGCGCCATTCTCTTTCTTATCTTCTGAAATTAGTTGAATTTGTCAATATATTTTGTTTAATTAATTTTTAAAAACAATGGATTTATACATAGAAGAATTTTACTTAAAAATACTATTAAATTGAATTTTGAGGAAGTTACAAATGATTGTAGAAATTAAAATATTTTCAAAAGTAATAAAATTTTTATCACAAACTTCAATTATGTTTAAAATTTATAAAAAAAATTTCGACAAAATTTTAATTATTATCTTTATAAATCAAAAAATTCTTCTTAAAAATTTAATAATTTTCAAAAATGTTAATAAAATTCTTGTCAAAATTTAAATAATTTTCAAAAATTTTCAATATTTCAATGATTTTCAATATCTACTATTTTAATAAAATTACCAAAAAGAATTCAATTATTTAGAAACAATTTTAATAAAATTCTATGCAAACATTTAATTATTTTAATTATTATTATTAGAAATAATTAAATTGGAGAAAATATTAGTAGTAGGACGGTAGCTATTTGTTTACATTGATTGTTGTGATATTGGAGTTAAAGTCAATGGCACATGAGACACAAACAAGTATCACAACAACCAATGAAAACAAAGTGAGTTGACTTTGTTTTCATGTTCAATTAAATTATTCAGGGTGTCCAACGATTCTTTAAAAAAAATCAAGGACCTTTCAAGGTTTTAAAAAAAATTTTACTTTCACCACGTTAAATTCTAAAGATTTTTCAAAAATAATTGAATTTCTTGAAATAATTTTTGTATAATTGAAAAAAATAATTAATTTTATAATGAATGAATTTCAATTTTAAATTTAAAGATTTTTGATAATTCTATTATTGTTGCAATATTTCGAAGAAAAATGCAGAAAGTCCCAATTTTCTGAAATATGTCGAAAAAAATCTGATTTTCCAGTATAGAAAAATGATTACTAATTTGATTTAGTGAATGACTTTTTGCTTTTGAATTAGTAAATTTTAATAATGAATTATCATTATTACAAATTATAAACATTTATTTAAATAAATAGCTACTTACCAAAAAACAATGAAGAGGAATTATCACCGCAACAACACAACAACGAAACACGTGCGACGATGAGACGCGTGCGACTAACACTTTTTCAGGTTAGTTCCTCTTCCTTTTTTGCTTATATAAAATAATGGCGACTATACATTGCGTTATACGTTATACGTGAACGTAGACGTTCCGTGCTGACGTCACAATGATATTTAAATGGGCGAACGTACCCGTTCCTTGTCAATGTAATGTATAGTCACCTTTAAAACGCTGAGCTAGTTGCTATATCAATAAAATTGTACATTTTACATTTTAGTACTTTAAAATTTTCATTTTATTGATAATATTTGATTTTTTATTCAGTTTTATTGCTTTTATTATAAATTTTCATTAAAAAACAAAAATATCCATTTTTTTGAATTTGAATCTTCCGCCCAATTGAGGCCGGCTGCCTGCGCAGGCAGCTGTGAAAAGGAGCTGTGGCAGTACCTTAACACTGTTTGGGCCCAAAGTGTGTTGAAACAATTTTTTAATGGATTTTTATGAAACTTGGTACCCTAAGGTTTCTGGGGTCGCTGATTACGAAGCTGACATCAGTTTTTCGAAATTAAAAATGGCGGAATTTTTTTTCAAAATTCGTCGAATTTTCTTGAAACTGGTTACTCAGGGGTTTTAAGGGTCGCTGATTACGAATCCAACAGTAGTCTTCCAAAATTCCAAATTGGCGGATCCAATATGGCGGACGTCAAAATAAAAAATTAATTATAATGGCTTGAAACTGAATACTCGGGGTTTTTAGATTCGCTGATTACGAATCTGAAATCAGTTTTAAAAAATTTAAAATATCTAATTCAATATGGCGGAAATTTTTTTAAAATTTATTGAATTTGTTTGAATGTGGTTAATCAGTATGATTATAATTTGACATCAGTATGATAATTTTTGGTGAAATCAAATTTCGTTAAATACCCTGACATTAGCTGGTGAATTTAGTTTTTATAGTTTATTAAATTTTTAAAATTCACGACCCCAGAAGGTACCACAAGGAAGCTGCCATAGGATTTTACATTCAATTTTTTAAAAAATTTTATATATTCTTTTAATTTTATTTTGTTATATACTAGACGCGTCGTTCAATGCAGTTACGTAATACTAAAACCCCCAAGTAACTTTCAAATCAATCTGATCAATTTCTTATTTTGTCGTCTGCCATATTGGATCCGCCATTTAGAATTTTGAAAACCTAATGTCAGATTCGTAATCAGCGACCACAAAAACCCCCGAGTATTACGTTTTAAGTCAATCCAATCAATTTTTTATTTTTTCGTCCGCCATATTAAATCCGCCATTTTGAATTTTGGAAAACGAATGTCATATTCGGAATCAGCGACCTCGAAAACCCCAGAGTAACCGGATTCAGGAACATTTAAAAAGGTTTTAATCACCTTTTTTAAGTTGCGCATATATGCGTCATGAACACTTTTGGCCAGTTTAGTTTTGCGCATATTTGCGTCAGCGACAGTTAATGGGTTAATAACAAATTTATAATTGCAAAACTTGATTTTTAAACCTTCCTTTTCTACAAAAAATTAACAAAAGATATTAGAATGCGAAAATTCACTCTTAAGAACGTTTGGTGTACATCTCAGGCGTGTTTACGCGAGATCGATATCTGTGCACCTCGAGACAAAAAATTCGATATTTCGGTTAGTTTTAAAGTCACCAGGGATTTTTTTTTGCAAAAAATTCTGGAGAAGATAACGAATCCAAATATTACCTATAGTTACAAAAAAATCGAAGGGGTGCTTATGCCCGAAAAAATGAAATCAAAAATTTTTTTGACTTTTTTTCCGGGCAAATTTTGGATTTTTTTTCTTTAATATTGCACTTTAAATTGTTAGCTAATCAACTATTATTACCTAAAATATAAACAAAACCTAACTAAATGGATAAAAGTTATTAGTTTTTCAAAAAAATGTGCTCTAATGTTTAATGCCCGGTAAAATCCACAATTTTGAAAATTTTTAAAAATCTTTTTTTTCTAAAATCTTCTGTCATAAAACACTACCTTTATACCAAGTTTTACAAAAATTGAAAGACTCATGACCAACTTTGATTTTTTTAAGAAAATTTGACCCAGTAGAAGGTATGTCGAAGGGTTTAGCAACAAAAAAATTTTAAAAACCAATAAAAAAATCTTAAAAAATCGTGTTTTTCATAAAAAATGTTGTATAAATTGTTTATTTAACATGTTTTAGATTTTTGAGCAGGCCATTCGAAAGATGGACTCTTGTTACATCTGAAATGTGTATTCAAAAATTTTTCTTCTAGCATTTTAGTACTGAAATATGTCCTTAAACATTATGTACAAATTTTGTACATCCCGTTCTTAATGGGTTAAAATATGTATTAAATTTATAGGAATCCGTGATTTCGTAATATGACCTTCAATTAATGGAAATTTAGCTATTAACTGTAAATAAGGGTCGATTTAATAATCACTTAAGTTTTTAGTTCGATGGCTCCTAAATGATAACACATTATTCGCGAGAGCGTTTATAAAACACGTAACTCACGAAAAAAAATAGATAATAATATGGTTATTTAAAATGACAGTTTTTTGAAGGCTATGTGACTTGAAGGCTATGTGACAATTTTTAATATTTATTATTTTTAAAGTGTAAATTAATTGCAAAAATATAAGTTAATAAAATTGTTTTATTAAATCCTTAATATGAAAAGAGTAGATATGCAAATTAGGTAAAAAGAGACATTCTTATTTATATTGCCTTTAGAAAAAGAGAGAAACCAGAGCCGGCGCTACTGGCGCCGTTACCCAGACGTAACCTTTTGTGTTT